TTTAGGTGCCCACCAGTTTATATTGCATTTTACAGTCTAGAAGGCAATTTACTATTAACTGGCAATTACATACAGAATGATTGTTAATTCTGCTCCTAAGTGCTAGCTGCTTGAAAATTGTTATCTCTCTCTAATTTTTGACCTTCTTACAACAGGGGTGAGGTACGCTGGGAATACAAAGGACTAGTAGAGAAGAGCTGGACATGTCATTTGTGACTCATTCTTTTAATTCACCGTGCTAATCAACTGAACTGCCACAATCTCCCAAGGTAATTGTATCTTTATAATAGTTGAAAGCAGTGGGCAAAAAGGCATGGATAGATGGGGAAAGGCCTTCCCTTTGCCTGCTGAGAAACAGCGCGATTCTCTTTCTGCGAGAGACTAATGGGGCCTTTTTAGAAAAATCTGGAACTTTCATATCTCTGTACCCTGATCATTTAATGTCTCAACTTTTGTACTTAACAAAGGCTTTGTACACCACACTACACTCTTGTTTCATTATTCTGCAGCCTTGTTGCCCTATGGTCTACCTCCTGCCGGGAAGGTTAAATGTTAGAGTGCCAAGCCAGACTGCAAGCATGGTGGGACACTGATGGGAAACAGATGCCCTGGGGATTCGGCCCCTCCCTCGTATAGGACTACATAATTTTCATTTTCTGAAATACAGTGAGGCTTGGCTTACTTCTCAATGGCAGCTGTAATTTCCAAAGCCTATCTCATTCACCCTATCACTTCAGGATAAAGCAAATCAGGCAGAAGTTTCACAGGCAGACAGGCTCTGCCTTTGTCTTGGTGTTTTCTGAGCATTGGGATATAAGCAGTTGTCTCCCTCAAAAGGTGTTTTAAATATGTTCTCCCATCAAAGCATTAGTAATGTACCTTTATTACATCTTAATGACAGGAGAAGTTCCTGATATTCTCACAGTTCTTTGGAACATCTTTACCCAGCAATAAGAGAGAAGGATGACCCCAGGAAAGACAAAACAAATGCCTTTTGCTTACGGTTTTCCTCACTTATTTTCATTTACACATTACCAAGAGACGCAATATAGCAAAACCTGCTAAATTTGCAAAATCTGCACTGAAGACATCAGTTAAAGACATTACTACAAAACAACTCAAAATTCAAAGGCCGTGCACTGAGAGCCAGATTGTCATCTGGTTCAAATCTGCGGCTTTCCTTGTGTGCAATGGAATGACACCAGCTCACAACAGCTACAAAACCTGGAACTTACTCCAAGGCCCTTAATTCATTCACTTTGTATTTTGCTGACCGTGTACCTTAGCTCAAGAGACACACTTCTCATGATATCCTGCTGTAGCTTTGTCCAATCTGCATTTACAACAGCATTTTTAAGACTCTATAATCTTGACCACATGCAGTTATCACTTTTTAGCAAAATGTATTAAGTAACATCACTTTGAAATACATTACTAACACCAAGAGAACCACAGCCACAGGCTCCACGTTTGATATTTCTGGTACACAGGTGAGGATGTGAGGTTTGGTTTTGCTCAGGTTGTAATTTCTTTGGGGATAGATGGGAAATACAAATGTCCACATCTGCTTGGACTGCACCATTCTGAAATGCTACCTGCACTTACAAGTTCAGCAAGGGAACTCGGATGGAAAAGCACATCTTTGATGTGTTAACTGTTAAGTCCTAACTTAAAACTACCCAAGAACCCACTTTTCCCATTAGATCAAAATTAACAGATAGAAACAGTTGCAGTCTAGTGGGAAAATATTCATCAAAATGCACATCATCTTCACATCGTCTGCAATCTGCATCATCTATCCAATAAGCACTAAGAACTCTGCCGGAATCCCTACAGTCTGTCGAGTAAACAGTTAAAGGCGATTTGTTTTCGAAAGGGAGATTGATTCATCACATCAAATTTATTACCTAGAATCCTCATCCAAAAGCACCATAAATTAAATTGCTATTTCTCCATTTTTCCCCCCAGCATCTTAGTTAAACTCATTCTTAAATGCCAAAAAAACTGCAATACACATTTTAGATAAATGTCAGCAATACTTCATCCCAAAGTAAGACTTCTCATGTTAGAAACACTGCAAACCACAAAGTTCCTATTTTTTCTTGCGCTCTTATAAATTAAAATCAAATGCATTTAGAAGAATTGGCATGAATAGGTCCTTTCCAGGGTTATGACTTTTTATCCCTAGTCTCAGTTCTGCAGGAATTTTCAGAGCCAGATTGCGAATAGGGTTGGACAAAGTTATTTGGAGCCAACAAAAACTACTTGATCCCATGCCTAAAACTTCAACTGAACCTTTAGGAAAGTTCAAGAAATTTGGATAGATATTCTGAATAATATTTTTCTCACTGAATACTTCTCAACTCCTTTCCCTGGTTGGAGCAGAGTAGGACACACCAGTGACAGTCTACTTCTAGCTGCAAGGAAAACAGGAAGTAACTGGCATCTTGTGAGATATCGAGACGTTATTAAGACCTGATTGTAATTCAGAAATGAATGA